TAATAATAAGTTTTAAATATATATCGTTATAGTCGGTTTGGTTTGATTTTTTGATCAGTTTTTGCTTAAACCAACACCAAATCAAATTTGCCAGTTTTTAAAATTCAAAACCAAAACGAAATCAATCAAAATATTATCGGGTTATTAATTTGATTCAATTCTCAATTTAGAATTTTTTTTTAACATTCCGTAAACATCCTTAGGGGTCGTTTGATAGGATGCATTAGAGAAAAATAATGCATACATTAATTTTTGGTATTACTAATCCCTTGGTTGATACATTTTTTCAACCTATATATTACTAATGCAAATATTAGTTATATAATCTATTTGGTATTATCCTATGTATAACTAATACATAGCAAATCATGATATTAATAATACCAAGGTTATTAATGCATGCACTAGCATGGTTAAAGATAAAATTATTTTTAAAGTCCCTTAAAACTAAAGAATATGAAGGGCATTTTGTAAGCATTTTAATTTTTAATACACCATACCAAACGATATAAAAAATAATTTATGCATAAATAACCTCTGCATTACTAATCTCTGCATTATTCTAATACACCCTATCAAACGACCTCTTAATGGTAGATGTTGCAGAAGAGAATATTTAATCGAAAATGGAAGTTATTATTAATTAGAGAAATATGAAATAGATGAAAGTTGCTACGTACCTTACACTTCAGGATGTCAAGTTCAAAGAATTACTCTTATCATTCACTCATTTTCCTCATGATGGGACGGACTGATTGCGCGACAGCACGCGCACAATACACACGCAGAGTAACATTCACGCACAAATGTCAAAATCTCAAAGACTAATACATAAATATCCTTTAATTCCTCAAATCTTTACAGTTAGCAACTTTGCATCAAACTCTTTTCTCACATAAACTTTGATAATTCGTAAGCAATGGAATCGGAAGCTTCATCGTAAGTAAACACCAATCTTTAATTTTCCACTAACCCATAACTATAGTAATTGGACTTATAGAATTGTTTTTTTAATAAATTCAGTCAACAAAAGAAAACTTATTATGATGGCTGCAGGTTCGAGTCAAGCGAGACGTTGGCAGCTTTTGTGGCGTCGACGCCGTTGCTGGAGGAGTCTTGGAAGGCTTGCGGCGTCGCCGATGCCTCGATGGATAGCCACTTCGCCGTGATTAAAGTTGGTGGGACAGCATACGTCGCGTTCTCCGGCATCAAATTGGCCGCCGGAGTCGACCAAAGTTGCCGGAATTTGGTGCCGCTGCCGGATGAACTATTTTCTGGCTTGTGCATGGATGGGCCGGATAATCTGCCCATGGTCCATGCCGGATTATTGCATCTTTTCCTATCTGTTTACACAGACAATTTCTTCCGTAATCAGGTCAGTTTATTTATGTAAGTGTATATATATATATATATATATATATATATATATATATATATATATATCTTTTACTTAATTGGGATATCATCTTCTAATAAAGAACTCTCCTGTGGTTTTAATTAATCCTAAATTGTAACTAATGTATCTCCATACTATAGGTTTCCATAATGGTCATGAACAATTGCGCAGACGGCCAAATACTTAGTTAATCGTATCAATACGTAGTCAACTGAACAAATATAACTTGACCCCATTTGAGGGTGGTTCATTTTTTGGTATACATATTGAGAATATACCGATTCAATTTTAATGGATTAAAAATAATGTTATGACATGGATTGGATTTTTCCATTTTCATATATTAATATTTTATTATTTTTTTTTTTGGTAACTAACTTTTGTATTAATCACCTTTGAAATCTTTACAAACCTATAGCTAGACTAATAACACAGTCAGCTATCTAACAAGTACAAGAAAAAACAATCAGACCTATACACTTCTAGAAAATATAATCTATCTCTAGAACATAAAGTTTTGTAACATGGTCTTGACCCTCAGACCTGCTCTAATATTACAAATATTGGTTTTTTCCCTTGCAATGACTTCCCAGTTTCGACTCTTCTTTTCAGAAATCATTTAATTCCTCTCCATCCATATAATCTTGAAGATTTGTGCTTGTTGTGATCTACCTTTAGCACTCTGGATAGCACTTTAAATTTCTTTTTCATTTTTTAAGGGAAAAAAAGTGCAATAACGGATATCTGTGATAATTAAAAATTCCGTAGAATAATGCTTACAAAAAGTTACGAAATACTCCTGGTAACAACAACAACAATAACAACATACCCAGTATAATCCCGCAAATGAAGTATGTGAAGGATATTGTGTACTGTTTCCGAAGACCTGTTTTTTTATTCTTAAAAAGGAAGCTAAAAAATACTAACATATGATTCTGCCACATTTTCCTTCGACAAAATAAAGTAACTCAAAATTTCGACATTTCTTATATTGTATCTACAAAATTAAGCAAAAGAACTTTAATGTGAAATAGAAGGAACAATTATCAAGCAGACATACTGCTACTGAAGGTAGAAATTCAATTTGGGTGAAAAGAGGAAGATTAATTTTTTAGTTCCATGTCCCTCGTAACAAGAAAAGCTTTTACCAGAATGAGTAAGTTCCAGAACTAAAAAAATTATAAAAATCTCCATGTGCATCATAATCGAATCTTGACTCTTGACTTTTGATTAGGATGTGGAACCGTAGAAGTTTGAAGATTTAAAAAATATAAAAAAATTTATTTAATGCTAAAACAAAGAGTATTTTTCCTGGGAAAAAAACAAAAATTATTCTCTTCTAGATTTTTTAGAACTTTCACACACTCTATACTGTTCCTTTCATCATTTGATTCAATGCACCACAATATAAGTCAACATCACATTCTTGTATTTTAATACTAATTTGTTTATTTATTTATTTTCTTTCAGAATTCTGTGAAATTGACAAAGCAAAGACCGAGCTTTTCAACAACCATTTTATGTCGTCCAAAGTAGATTCCATGTGCATTATTTGATTAAATGAACCATTCAAGTCACATCAAACCCTACAATCCTTTGTTAGTCGTTCTGCATAAAGTTTTTCTCGAATTTAACGTTTATATTGTTAAGGGGTGAGTTTCTTTTTTCCGGAAAAAATGGACAAATAGCAATTTTTCAGACAACTAATCAGTATTTAGCTACCATTTCAAAACTATTCAAACTTTAAGAGTAATTTTCCTGGCTGTTCATAACACAAAAGTTATTTTTCTTCAAATCATTCAACTTTGTGTTCATTACTCAAAAGTCATTTTTTTTTTTTGTTATACAAAAATCATTTTACTTTGCTCTATTTATCCCAAAAGTCACATTGGCCAGATTTTATAATACTTTTACTTGAAAAGTCTATTATGCCCTTGACATTATAAATTCTCTCATTTATGTAACACATTTGTTTACCCGAAAAATCGGATAACGTTAAATTTAGATATGGTTCTAAGGGTATGTAAATGCCTTTGATACAAAATGACAATTGTTTACCCGAAAAAATCGGATAACGTTAAATTTAGATATGGTTCTAAGGGTATGTAAATGCCTTTGATACAAAATGACAATTGTTTACCCGAAAAAATCGGATAACGTTAAATTTAGATATGGTTCTAAGGGTATGTAAATTCCTTTGATACAAAATGACAATACAAGTATTTTTGCTATAAAATGGGAATGATGGACGGGAAGACTGAAAATGAATTCGAAAAACAAGCACAATTAAATCTTAATATATCCCTGGAGGACCTGTGTCTATTGCAGTCTATCTCCCTTTTTATAGTAGAGGGTCACTGCTTCATCTATAACAACATAATAAAATAATACATATAGTGGAGGACCCATGATGGTTTGTCTCTTCCTTGATTCTCGCCAAGATTCTCTCCCTTGGTGCGGTTGTAACGGCTCTTGTCTGCGAGCTTAGCACTGACTCGAGCTCGGTGTTAGATCGAATCCCCAGTCTTGGTTCGAGCTCGGTTCTGCCTTGGGGCATCGATATTCGGGGCTTGTGTTGATCGATGTTGCCCCGTAGTCCGATTCGGACACGGGCTCGATAATGATATTGAGTTTTGCCGTTGATTG